CTGCTTGTCCACAGCAGCATCTGCCCTTTCATCCGCGGCGTTGGCCACAGTGTTGTCGATCTCACGCTTGTCCGCAGCCTCTGTCCCATCCGTGGCATTGGCCACAGCGTCGTGGATCTCCTGCCTGTCCGCAGCCTCGGTCCCTGCGTCGGCAATGGCCACAGTGTCGTGGATCTCCTGCTTGTCCGCAGCCTCTGTCCCTTCGTCGGCATTGGCCTCAGTGCTCTTGATCGCCTCCTTGTCGGCGACCTGCGTGGCACTCGACTGCCTCTTCTGCAGCCACTCACAAAAGTGCTCGATGTCGGCCAAAGCGTCGCCCTCCATGTCGCCAAACCTGAGCAAGCCAGTTAGTGGTAGTAGCAGCAGCGGTGGCACGTAGCAGCAGCAAGGGTTGAGCGTTGGAGGCTGAGGGTTTCGGGCTTCGGGTTGAGTTTTAGAGGTTAGGGTTCGTGGCAAGATGCTCCCAATCATCCTCCACATCGCCCTGTAGAGAGGCCACGTACTGGGGGAAAAGTTCGTGCTTCTTGGCCCGGGAGATTTCCCACTCCAAATCTGCGCCGTCCTTACTGGCTTGTTGACTCAGGAATTAATTGTATGGCGCCTAGTTTGTACTTAAGCTTCATGCAGGCTCCAGGTTTTTAAAATGCGCTTCAGACCCAAGTTCTCAGGCCATGTAGGGCTTGTTGGGAAGTCTGTAGCTGCAGAGTAACCTGAGCGAAGAGGTCGTGGTAATCGATGTTGGGGGTATAGTAGTCGAGGATCAGCTTGGGTTCGGTCGCGGGCGACGGTGCCCCTTCCGGCCGTGGTGTGGAAGCTGCCTCAGGCTTGACATCGGTGGAGCGCAAGCCAGAACTGAGAAAGTCCATCAATTTCCAGCCCGAGCTTATCGCCGCTACAATCTTCTTGACGCCCGCCGCATGGTGGTGAGCAACCTCAAACTGATCCTCCACAGTCTGCAGCACGTCTTTTTCATGCACGAAGGGCTTGGGCACGGCAGCGAAAGCCTAGCTGCAAGTTTTCACTCCCCGACAACACCCAAGACACCACTCTCACACTTGCACATGAAACACAAAAAGAAACTACTGACTGACTCACTGTATCACTTTTAGTTACACTGCACTGCACTATATTATCCGACCACCGAACTCTACCAAGCACTATTGCACCTCATTCTACAAGCCGAAAAACAAGAAAATTGCATCCGACGCCATGATCAACCTGCTGCTCCTTGTAGAAAGTCTTCGGCGCATTCATGTACCCGAGGCCACATTGAAAAAAGAAGAAACCGGGTGGGATGAGCAGGGCTTCGCCTTCTCGCAAAACGATATAGGAACCACCATTGGACACCAAGTCATCCAAACTCATCGACCCCAACTCGTCTGCAAGGTTGGTCAAAGAAATCACACCATCCTTGCTGGGCAAAGCCTCCGTAGTTTTTTCGCTCAGTGCGGTGAACGACATCATGGCGACAAAGCACGCCCCACGTGTACACATAATGCAACGAGCCAGCAAGCCGTCGCCGAATGATGATGCTATCCACGACGGTCCCGCTACCACCTGAATCTACAGGGCCTTGGTTCAAGGTGTTGGGTTAGGGTCGGGTGATTTTTCAAGCTCCACCACCGCCACCACCTCCCTCAACGGCAGGAGGGATCTGAAAGTTTTGGCATCGTCCTCATTGCAACGCTGCTGCCTGGGCACGCACGACCATCCCTTTGCCATGCGCTACATCTTACAACTGACTGTCATGATGTGGAACTACAAATGATGTTTAAGCAAAGCCGCGCAATCAGTTCCTCTAACATCTCGCCGCCACAACAGATCTCCCCCATGAGCTCGGACACATGCGGCGACCACAGGCCGCGCGAAGCAAACATCGGCATCTTGACTTGCACTGTCTTGTCGGGGGCGGCCTTCCAACCCCGCTCGGACTCTTCCGGTGATGCCAAGTTTTGTTTCAACTCTTCGGACATGTGTGGGGGATCAAAGTAAAACCACAGCGGCTGCGAAAAGTCAATGTCTTGCAGCGGCCTGCTCTCTCCGGGAACCACGGTCATCACGCTTGGGCTGGATCCAAGCGAACCATCCTCGTTCAAGGCCGATTGTGATGTATCATTGAACGACTGGACCTTGTCGCACGATATGCTTGCAATTCGCTTCAGGTCCGAGACAATGTAGAAGCACTGGGCCTTCAGCGGGTCTTGAGTAAGGCTTAGCTAAGTAATGACGCCCGTCACATGCCTGGCCTTGCTCCTGCCATTGTTGCACTTGCTGAAGCGTGGTCTCGCGTAGCTCACCACCTGCGGCTTTAACGGCCTCCTAGCTGCAACCCAGCACTCAAAAACTCAAAATGCAGCCACCTGCAGCCTGCAGCAACTCAAGCTCAAACAATGACACTGACTCCCATGGATGGATGCTAGCTGCTAACTCTGGTGGACAAGAACATGAACATCATAATTCATGATCCAAGACCCCTCCGCCAAAGTTCCCCGGTGACCGTGTGTTCGTGCCCCCCCCCAAAACCCAACAGCAACTACAACCACAAACTCGCTCTGCGGGGCTTGCCTTGTCTTGCTTGACTGCCTTGGCGGGGCGCTTGCCCTTGCCATTGCTACTAGTAGGTGCCGTCGTCGCCTTGCCGTCGTCATCCATGTCAGCCTCAGACGCCGACGGGGATGAGCCGTCCTCGCCACTCTCCGACTCGCGGTCGCTGCCGCTGCCATCGCCATCTTCACCGTCTTCTCCTTTGGCACTGCCCCTTGGCGCCGCATCCGGATCATCCTCCTCAGGGGCTTCTTGGTCCGCCTCGGCCCGCCCAGCTTCACGTGCTTCCTTGATGACCTTCAAAGCGTCTGAAGCGCGTTTGGCGCGGAGTTGGTTAAGGCGTTCCTCGCGAGCCTTTTCCTTCTCCTGCTGCACCTGGAGCTCTGTAGACGTCTTGTTCAATAAGTTCATGGCCTTGTTGACTGCTTGTTCAGCACTCAGCATGGTTTTCTCGTAGTCCTGAATCGAGCTCCTGGTTGGCGCTTCAAGGGCCTTCACGCGGTTGCTTGAAAGCGGCGAAAGCTTCTCGCGGCAGCTGCCTCGGTCAAACTTTGCGGCCTCAGTCTCAGGAGGGAACTTGCAGGCGTTCTGGCCACCGGAGGGAAGAAGCGCGTACATGCGCTCCAGCCGGGCTCGCAAAAGGCTTGAGACTTCATTGCATTCCTCGAATGCAACCGCAGCCTCTAGCGCCAATGTCACTTCTTGGTTCAGCTCCTCCACCTTCGTCTTCCACCTGCCACTGGCCACAAGCAGCTTGCGCTGCAAGTCAAGCCTCTCAAGCTCAGGGTCTTTCGGCTTTTTCGACTTGTTGGGGTCCCCGTCGGTGAATTGCTTCTTGGGCTGCTGATCCGGTATCACCACTTCCGGCGGCCCAAAGTTGGAGGGCGCCTGCTGCTGCAGCACCGTACCGGCGGCAGCGGCGGAACCCCCCGCCTTTTTCATGACGTTTGCCTTAGCCTTGCCCTTTGCCTTTGCTTTGCCCTTCGGAACGACAAGTGCAAAGGATGACTCAGGCCCCTGGGAGGCCAAGCCTTGGCGGCACCCCTAAAGCTGCATCTGAGAAAACAAGTGGGTCTGTGAAAGTATTGAAACAGCACCCTTGAAGCCCAGCTGCTATGGATCTGGCTCTCCGCTTCCAGAGTCGAGGTGAGCAAGCCTCACACGGACTCAAAACACCCCGCAACTCGAGGAGCGTAAGCAACCTGCCCC